ACCGAGCACTTCGCTCTCAGACTGCAGGTTTACTGGTGGTTCCCAGAATATCTAAAATTAGGATGGGAGGCAGATCTGTAATTTATCAGGCTCCTCTCCTGTGGAACCAGCTCCCAGCCTTAGTCCGTGAGGCAGACACCTTGTCTACTTTTAAGACCAGGCTTAAAACATTTTTATTTGATAGGGCCTATGGTTAAAATCTGATGTTAGCTTAGATCTGGACAAGTGGGGGAGTAGAGGGAGGTGGATTGTACAGTCGGTAAAGACGGCTCTCCCTTGCCCTGCCTCCAACATGCCTCCATCTAAATAGGATAGATTATCCAGAGTTATTTCTGTAGTTATGCTGCTATAGGCTTAGACTGCTGGAGGATACACTGACCACTTTTCACACTCTACTACTTTCTTCTACAATATTCTCTTTAACTGTATTATTTCTTGCTATTTCAGCTGTTAACTTTATTTTTTCTCTAAGTGTTTTTCTCCCCAGAAGAAGCTACAACGATGTTCTGCTGAGCTGTGGTGGCCTCATGGAGGGGGCCATCGTCTAGCACACTGCTGCTAACCACTTAAACTTTCTCCCTCTCCTGATAATAACTTTTTGCTTTCCTTGACACGTTGGATGTGCTACTACTAGTTTACCTGTTTAATTATAGATTCACTAGGATAAATACAATAAAGTTTATCTCTCGCCAAATAGAATATTTACTAAGCAATCACGGTGTAACCATGGACACATTGCTTGGTGTGTGTGTGTGTGTGTGTGTGTGTGTGTGTGTGTGTGTGTGTGTGTGTGTGTGTGTGTGTGCTCTGTCTTCTCGATCCCCAGTGAGTCATGGTGGATGGCTGCTTATACTGAGCCAGGATCCTCTGGAGGTTTCTTCCTGTTAAAAGGGAGTTTTCCTCTCCACAGTCGCTATATGCTTGCTTAGTATGAGGATTGCTGTAAAGTCACTGACACTAGTCAGTGACTTGATGCAATTTGCTGGGTTCCTTATATAGGAAACATTTTTCTGATTGGCTTAATGAACTGACCTGGATTGTAATGTTTATTATGTGAAGTGCCTTGAGATGACTCTTGTTGTGATTTGGCGCTATATAAATAAAATTGAATTGAATTGAATTAAACCTTCAGCTGCAACAGGTAACTAAACCCCCAGTAGTCCTGCCATTTTGGGAGCATCGGCCGCATCTTTACTAAAGTTAATCTTTAATGACGTGTGTGTGTTATGCTGAAATGAAGCGTGTCTCTATTTGTGTCTGCAGATGGGATGTTTGGGAAGTGTCACTCTGTTCCAGTGAAGGACGTTTACACCTACGATGTGTCTCCATCTGTGGTGCAACGCTTCAGGATTCTGCTGGAGAAGCTGTCCAATAGAGGTACTGACACACACACACACACACACACACACACACACACACACACACACACACACACACACACACACACACACACACACACACACACACACACACACAAGGAGAAGTGTTAATTAGGGCGGATCTGTCAGCTTGATCTGAGTTTCTAGTCCAACAGCTGATGACACGAGGAGACGTGTCTCTACCCAGAAATGAAGCTCTATGGAAAATGTTGAGACCAGCTGACATCTCACCTGGTGTTACTGGTCAGTCTGGAGGGAGAAATAAAGTGATATGTAGGCAGATTTATTTTCTTAGAGGGCAAAGTGGATTATGTAATCACTTTTAATTATGTAAAAAAACACAATTCTAATTATGAGCAAAAGATACAAAAAGAAACAGACAAAACTGTGATAAGAAATGTTCATTTATGTGAATTTTACATTTGTTTTCATTGCAGAACAGTAGTTTTATTTTATGTATTTTAAAATTAGTAACGTTATAGAATAAAGGCTGATCCATTTAGCTAATATTACCTTCAGGTGTTTATCCTGGACGACTCTAACAAACAAAAGTTACCTACTGGAAGGTTTCTAAAGTGGTGTTGTGTAAACGAGCAATTAGAAATGGTTCTTTTTCCATTCGTTCGTTTAAAATATTATTTATTTTTTACTATTTTTTATTTTGTCCTTTAAACCACAGAAATTTACAAGAAACTTTAGTGTTTATCTGATTAAAAAGGCTTAAGTAATTATGATTAAACATTTACTCAATAATTGAGTTGCCTTCTTACCAAATTGTCCTTTTATTTACTTCTCTGCGGCGAGGTAGATAAAAACATAAAAAATATAAGTAGAAATAATCACAAAACTAAAATATTAGGTGAACAGAAGTGACAAGTTACAGTGAAGCCACTTTCAGGCAACCGCATTGGTGTCGGTTCCTGGTATCTGTAACTTTTTAGCATCCCTAACCTCGAGCGTACATGTCTCCAAGGTGTGGAGAGGCACTGCCCTGAAAAAACTGAAAGACAGATAAAAGGAGTTTATAGTGTGCCCGATAAGAGACTGGAAGCCAATGGAGCATTGAACGTTGAACAAAAGAAGCTAAACAAGGTTTAAACTTCTAGAACTTTTTTTTACCGTGTTTGGTTGGCAGCTCAGACTGAGGTACGTTAGCCGGAGGCGCTAAAAATCTAAGTGGTTATCAGACTCAGGCCAGAGGTCAGTCCCGATTGAACAGACGAGTTACCACCTCGTCACGGTGGGGCACCACGTGTGTTAAAGCAATTGCAGTCTCAGAGATTCATCTCTTACTGTGTAGTCATTCGGCTTGTTTAGTCTGATCAGAACTAATCTCTGTTCCTCTTAGCTGAGGTTGTTTACAGAGTGGTCCATGACAGTAGGATGATGGAAGACTAACTCGGTGTGCACCGTTTAAGACTGAATTAAGAGTTTCCTGTATGAACACGAGAGGCTTTTATTACAGCAGCATTGCTGTAATAATGATGGTAACCATTAGGGGGAGCCAGAGGCTGCAGTAAGGCCCCACAACTGATGTTTCAGCCACTTTCATCATGCTCACTCCAACTTCACCGAGGAAAACAGAAGGCGGACGAAGAGTTAATTCTTTCATCTTTGAAACTGAAGCTCAGCTCGAGTTTTAGAAGTGTTTTTGTTTCTCAACTGCTTTTGTCTGATTTCACACACACCACTTCCCCTGGAGGGGTAACCGGTTACATTTGTACTCAGGAGAAGAGCTGGTGGGTTGTTTTAATCTTATTTAAAGGTAAAAGGTTTGTCTCAGAAGAGTAACACTGCTCATGAGATTTGTGACATTAAAAATCAACCCACAAATGTTGCAGCAGCATTTAAATAAAGGACAGAAAACGTAACTTGGCTTAAATAGGAATGAAATACATATAAATGTGGATTTATTCAACAAATCAAAGTTTAGGCATCTGAACGAAACTCGTTCTGTTGGGTTTTCAGGACTCATTTAATCAAAAACAAACGTTGTCACAAAACCTTTCTCCTTGTTTCAGAAGCATGAACGTAAGTTTCACCCCGAATGTTTTTAAGGAAAGACAGATGAATGGGTTATGTTTACTCTGAGCGTGACATGATTTTGTTTGGTGAAACATCTTTAGTGATACTTTATTTTTTTTTAAACAGGGAACCAACTAACTAACAGCAGCAGTTGCAGGAGGCTGCGGCCCCGTTGGACCAGCATCTGCAGAATCACAGCTTCCTGCCCTAGTTGGTTTAGTCGGGGAGGTGGCTTTGAGTCACTCTGAGTCTCCTGGCAGCAGCTCCGGCGTTTATTAACCTGTCGTGTCAGAAGCCTTCTGTTCGCCTGATGCCGGCTCCTGTTTTCCACCGCTGCTGCAGTTAAAAGCTGTTTTATGACTCTTTGATGGGAAAAGCTTTTCCCGACACGCTACATGGCTGTTGGAGAGGCCAGAGCCTGATTCCTAAATGTCAGAATGCTTTTAGTCGAGGTCTGAAGAACCGGTCCGGAGTCTGAAATGATCTTAATCAGGCTTTTCTGGTCTAACTGAATGATCTGCTTGGTTCCGGTTTACAGCTGATTTCATTTAGAAAAAGCTGATTAAAGGCTAAATTTTATAAATGTTCCTGATTGATTGTTTTTGCCCGTTTCACCTTTCGTTTCTCGTGTCCCGAGGAGATTAAAACGTGACCTGATTGGTTTGGTGTACAGATCAGGAAAACGTTAAAAGTTATTGTTTTCTTTGGTGTTCGTCTTGATGGAAACAGCGTTTTAGCCTCGGTTATATTTAACAATGATTTAAAAAGGCAAACAAAGGTAAGTGATGACCTGCAGAGAACCACCACCTCATGATGGAAATGTCAGACGTGAATTGGGACTATTTGACTGATAAAGACGTTACGTTGCTTTAAACCAAAATGGAATTGGTCAGATTTCTGACTTTTACTGACAAGGAAGCAAAAGTCGATCTCCAGTCGTTTTTCCAGGGATCAATAATGAGGTTAGAAAAAACTAGGAACACTTCCCGTCTGCACTTAGTTCATCTGGCCCGAATCAGTTCAGAATCGTGTTCATTAGTCGTTTTTTCCCGTGGTTCTGTTTCTTTTCACACAGAAAACAGCAAACAAAATGAGCCAGAGAACCAGTGATTGGTTAGATTCTCTGTGGGCGGAGCTATTGGGGCGTTCTGATCCTGGGCCAGTGGACCAATCGCTCTAAGCCTCCATCCTTGATCTGTTCATCAACAATTTGACCTCTTCAGTGTTTTTGTGCCAGAGCTGATAAATCCAGTCATCAGCTAGCTAGGAGCTACTGATGTTTGTGCGTCCTCCAACATCCAGAATGCAACAGTAACCTGGCTTTGGGAGGGCGTGATGCTCAAACGTGCAGCTTCATTGGTCAGATAAAGTTCACACCACAAACATAACCTCTAATGCAGTGGTAGGGACCCCTGGTCCTGGAGAGCCCCTGTCCAGCACGCTTTAGAGGTTTGTCTGCTTCAACACAGCTGATTCACCTGTTCAGCAGCTCATCAGGCTCTGCAGAAGCCTGTTAATCACCTGCTGATTAAAACCAGGTGTGCTGAAGCAGGGAAACATCTAAAACATGCTGGATAGCTGCTCTCCAGGACCAGGGGTCCCTACCTCTGCTCCAACGGGTCTCGGTACGGTTCCTTCTGTCCAGTTTAGTGAGATTACAGAGTTCTGCACAAACGAACCATGCTGATCAGGAAGACGGACCCTGAGGCCACGTTCACAATCCACCCAAAAGGCCCAAATCCAACCTTTTAGCTCATTAGTGATTTTTTATTTGTTTATTTTTAACAGTTTTTTTTTAAATTTTGAAATCAGATTCAGGTCTCTTTCAGAATAGGGGTAGACCGATGTAGTGGTCCATATCGGCTATATAAACAAAGTTTACTTTACATATCGGCATCGGTATCGGCAATAGAAAAACCAAAATTGGTCAACCTCTGTTTCAGATCTGGTTCCAACTCAGAGATCAGCATTTCCAAAGTGGCCTCAGTCTGAACAGCCGGCTCACGCTTCGTTCCAACAAAGTGGTTTTAGAGCCTCTGGTGATAACTTATCAGCTGTTTCCATTTGTGATCAACCACAATCACCTGAATCCTGTCTGAGAAGAAGGTTGATGCTTGTTGATTGTTCAGCTGCATGTCGTTCTGATCAACCAGCACGTTTCCATCAGGATTCTTTATTCCAGGTAAAATGTCTCTCTTCCTTTGTGCCTTTTCTCCACCGTCAGTAGAAACGCTCTTTATTGTGCGTCCTCTGATGGACCCACATGTCGCCGCCTCACATCTGGAGTCACAGTCTGCGTTACTTAAATCCTTGAGTGGCGTCATCGCTCATCTGCTTCACGTTGTGCTTAGCGTGCTGCGGACATATTTCCGTTAACACTTTGTTCCGCTACCCCATCTGGCGCTGGCGCCCGCTCCTCTGTTCGGATGCCAGAAAGCAGTGTTTGGATGCGTGTTAAGCATCAGCAGCAGACGTGACCGCCCAAGCAGCTCGTCGAGCTCGTCCTTTAGCACACTCGCTGAAACGAGGCTCTTTCTTCTCCTCTGATGTTGATGCTCTTCACTTCCCAGTCCCACCGATGGACAGAGATGTCCTAGTGATGGTGATGCAAACGCACAGATCATCCAACACAAACAAACACAGGTGACTTGCGTCGTGTTAGAGGTGGATTTAGCCCCTAACAATGTTAACACCTGATGCTGAACTACGTTCAAGGAAATGTCTCTAAAATGAATTCTTGCGGTGGTCGTTAAAGGCTTTACTGAACTGTGGCGAGAGGATCAGAGGAAAGCCCGTTTCTGCTCTGAAACAGAAGACGCCTCCACGTGCTGCATTTCTCCATATTTCACAGCTCTTTGGGTGTATTTCTAACCCTGAAACTGGGTTGCATCTGGATTTTCTTAATTGTTTTTGCATGTTATGTTGGGGCTCGAAAGTGGTGTTGTTCAACTGGTCCTCGGGTCATTTCCTGCCCAGAAGTTGATCTAATCCAACGGGCAAACATCAGTAAAGATCACACAATCTTCCTCATCTGCCTCTAAATCGGCTGCTAGCATAGACTCGGATGCTCTGTGACACTTGATCCTAAACGTTTCTGATTTTGTAGGTTTGACCTGGGAAGATGACCCCACCCAGCAGCTTCTGTCCAGTGAGCTGTCCAAACTGAGGAGGATCCCGTACCAGCCCCAGCAGAAGGGACGCCTCTACAGCAGCAGCAGGTTATCACTCTGTCTGATGATGTTTGGGCTCTGATGGTCGTTTATGTCCTTTCTCAGTCAGCCTTGATGACCAGCAGCACTGAAACCTGTGATACATCCACAGCTTTAGTCACATGAAAGGTCTCGTTTCCTTTATTACTTGATGCCTTTTCATCACGAGAAAAAGGAACAACTATGCTTCCATAAGACCTGATCTAGACAACATCTCTTTGGAAAGGGAAAGAATAAAAATCCTAGCAGGAAAATGACAACGTTCCCGTTGTTACAAAAGAGGAATCGGATCAGGAGTTTATTTCTCTCTGGTTCTGTTGCAGGAACCCACTCACGGAGCAGCAGAAAGGTTATTATTATAACAAACATATAAAAAGTTGTTTCAGTCAGATAAAAAAAGAGATTATTGAGAAAGAGAAGAAGTTGTTCTTTTTAAACCAAAGCTTTGAGTTTCACCAGCTGAGCTCGACATCTCCCTTCTGGCATCACAGCTTTATGGTCTTTGTTGTTCTTCTGCAGGCCGGTAGCCGAAGCCATGGACCCAGAGGACCAGAGGGTGAAGCCGGTGGAGGTGGAGCTCAACAGAAACCTGCAGATGTACCTCCAACGTTTGGGCCTCCTACCAAAAACCTCCTCCTCGTCTGGTCTGAAAAAGCCCGCAAAGGTGAGACTTTCTGTTTGTGACGTTTAGAATTAACCTTGATTTTGTCTTTGCACTCTCACGTTTAAACGCAGAAAACACACACACACACACACGCGCGCGCGCGCGCACACACACACACACACACACACACACACACACACACACTGCGATAACTAAAGGGTCTGGCCTGTGGGGAGTTCTTGTTGCTCTCTGTCAAACGTTTAGTCTGCACATGTTTACAACCTTTTAGAAACACCTGGATTTTCTCTCCTCTCCAGTCAGATCCAGACACAACCAGCTGATCACTGATGACATGTCTGCAGAGACCTCTGTACGGTTTGCACTCAGAGACTCTGACAGTGTGGTGCCTGCAGGCGGTGCTCTGGGAGTCGCTTTTCCCTCTTTGCTGGACGAGGGACGACTGGGATGATTTGTTTTATAATAATCTTTCTTTTTATGTGTTTATTCATAGACCCAGCCAGCTAATGCGTTTAAATTTAGTCATGAAGCTTTTTACATTTAATTTGTTCAAATGTTTTCTAAATCACAAAAGTAATGTTGAGCATCAGCTGTGGAGCAAAAGTAGGGATGTCCTGAATGTCATTTTTGGGAAAGGGATCTAAACATCAACGGGATCCATAAAATAGAGCTCTTTTTTTTCCACAGAGCTTATAAACGTGTTTATCTGATGGGTTAGGGTTTATAAAATATAAAACACACTTAGCTCTTGTTATTCCTGCTCATTAGCTCCTTTACTTATAATGACGTTCTGTTCTAAGCAGATTAATGGGATGAAAGCAGCCCAGTGGAGGTTTGGGGCTGCATCACAGCACTGCTAATGTAAAACAGGAAAAGTAAGTCAACAATTGAGATGCAGAGCTGAAAATTAGGGACAAATTTGCCTAAAGTCCAGAGAAAATCTCTGAGAAAACTTTGGAAAATCTGGAGAGTATTGAATTATTTTCAGAGTACAACAAGGTGGTTTGGGCCTTTAGAACAGAAATGTCCCTAAAGCTGAAAGTGTTTGTTTTGAGTCGATCTTCAACCATCCCTCCAGAGCCGTGTCCTTGACGCTGAAGTAATCTCCTCCTCTTTCATCCTTCCAGCTGCTGCAGAAAGCTGGACCTCCATCCAGCCAGCTCCTCACCACACAGGCTGACAGGGACCTTCTCCTCGGCGCCCTGAGGCGGTATCTCGCTGGGCATCTCTTCAGGCATGGTGGGAGGGTGAACCCCTCTGAGCAGGAGGCCCCCTCTCTGCGCCTCAGGCCTTTTTACAACAATGGGATAGAAAATCCTGGGCTCAAAAAGGAGACGTCCAAATCCAGACTTCTGAAGGCAGGAAGGATTCCTGGAGCTTCAGTCAAAGAGCCGCTCACATCTGTCGATGGTGAGTTTTAGTCAGGGAACTGTTCCTCAGAAGGTCTTGATACGGTAGTGTCACGTTGTGGGTGTGGAGATGATGGACCAAGTGTGGTGGAGCAGCTCAGGAGGCAAAGATGCAGGCTCGGATAAAGTAAAATGATTTTAATAACAGAGCGGGAACAGCAGGAACAAACACACCGCTGACAATTAACACAATGATCTGACAAAGACTGGTACAAGACGGGAGGTATAAATACACAGGGAAAATTAGGAACACATGGGCAGGTCAACGAGGGGCAGGTGAGAACAATAAGGACTAATAAGGGCAGGAGAGAGACACAGTCAGGAAGGCAGGGGCAGATCGTGACAGGTAGGAGGTTCTCTGTGGGTCATGCCTTCCTCTTGGTGGATCACCTCAGCCTCACAAATGTTATCATTTCTATTAAAATCCAGAAGAAGCAGCCATTTAGAGTTTTATTGAGTTTTATTGCAGTATAAACAAAGTTAAACTATATACCGTAAATCCTCTAATACAGACCCGGGCCTGTATTTGACCCAAGCTCATCAAGCTCCAGGCCTTTATTGGAAGGAGGGCCAGAATTAGAGGCAGGCCTCTATTTCTATTTGAGCAAAATGAACTAATGGTTCGCTGGAGTTTTTGACAATTAAAATTGCGCCCACATTTTCAAAGTTAAACACATTTCTTTTAACAATGGTAGTTTCTGCTTCAGCCCTCTCCCCCCTCCTCCTGCGCAGCGGCCGCAAACTCACTGATGCCTCTCAGTGTTCCTGCTGCTCTAAACATTAAAATAATTATTTCATTTTCTGTTCCTCACTTCTGATTACCTTCAATGGTGTCTGTTTGATGCAACCACCAGGTACAAAAACTAACTTGTTTTTATTTGACTATTTTTCTGTCCTGCCTGTTTATTATCTTCCTGCATCTCCTCTCAATCCTAAAGAAAAACTGTTACCTGGGTTCATATATATTCACCTTATGAGTTACCTTTTAACTGCAGTTCTAAAAGATCTACCGACCGCAAAAACAGCGGGGTGCTCGCTGCTTGGTGGCCGCATCAGTGATCGGTGCGTCACCGGATGACAAGTTGATGCGCCCCGCTCCACAGCGAAACGCATCAGGCGCAAATAAAAGACAGAAAACATCAAAGGAAATGAACCGACATGAACAATCGTGTGTTAAATAATTTTTTGAGGTGGCAGCACCTGATTGTTACTGTGGCAGTGCTCAGGAGGCAGATCTACCGACCGCAAAAACAGCGGAGCGCTCCCTGCTTGGCGGCCGCATCAGTGATCGGTGCGTCGGAGGACAAGGTGGTGCGCCCCGCTCCACAGCAGCGAAACACATCAGGCGCAAATAAAAGACAGAAAACATTAAAGGAAATGAACCGACATGAACGATCGCGTGTCAGTACCGACGCTCTGGCACAGCGCGTTGCCCCCCCCCCCCCCCCCCCCCCCCCCCCCCGAGCGCAGGAGCTTGTCACCTGCTGACAGCAGGTTGCTGTCTTTTTCGAGGGCTGCATCTTGCCGGTCATTATCATGTGACAGCGACTAGTCGACGACAGGCATAAAAAGTCACTATAGTGATGTCGACTAGTTCATACAACCCCTGCTACTGCTCCCCAGAGTGTTCTGCAGCATAATCAGCATGTTCTCTTTGAACTTGATATCAAATTTTCGCCTCCTCTTCGTCTCCGCACGGTTAAAGTTACCCTCGCGGTCTATCACTGGCAAATGAAAAGTGAGACGATGTTACAACCGGCCCCCGTACTTGCTTGTTACCACATTCCACCCGGCCACAATAAGAGACCGGCCATTATTCACCTCCGCTGACTCCGACACCGGCCATAATTGGAGACCCGGGCTTTAATTGAATACCGGCCTGTATTAGAGGATTTACGGTAGTTGCTATAGTACCATCCTGTCACTCTTAGCAACTGGTTTATGTATATATATGTATATATATATATACATATATATCTGTGTGAACTCCTCCATTACTACCACCCTCCTCATGCTCTTAGGTCTGAAGATCAGCTCCTCCTAACTGTCCCTAAGGCACGTTTGAAGACCCGCGGGGAAAGGGCTTTTTCAGTCTGTGCCTCAAAATTGTGGAACTCATTACCTCTTCAGGTTAGGCAAGCAGCCAAGCACCCTCTATTGCCATTTTTAAATCACGCCTGAAAACCCACTACTTCTCCCTGGCCTTCAACTCCCAAACCATGAAGCATTAACTCATCCTTAGTTTTATATATATATATATATATATATATATATATATATATATATATATATATATATATATATATATATATATATATATGTATGTATGGTGTAACGGAATCAAAGTGATGTCTCTATCTAAAGTTGTATTTTAATACACTGTAGGTAGTTCACTTTTTATAACCAGAAGAATAGGCTGTTTTTATCATCAGGGAGTTTAATTAAACACTCTGTATTGACTTTGAGACAAGAAAAGAGAGAGAGATGGGATCATTTGAGAATCTTTAATTTCTGAATTATAAATTCTAAACAATCTACCAGGACTACTCTGTGATGGATGAGAATGGATTCGGATGTTGTGTTGGTGCGTGTGTGTGTGTGTGTGTGTGTGTGGTTCAGATTCTCTAGGCTGACGTCACTGAATCTGGTCGTCTTTGTTATGACTAGATATCACGAGGCTTATAAAGTGATGACATGAGCCGCTATTTTGCCGTGTACGTACCCAGTGGGGGGTCTCCCAGGTAGATCAGGAAATGCCAGGTCCAAGAACCTCGGGTGTACGCTGGAGCTGTCGGTGCAGCGGTCACAACGTTTCAAAGCCCGTCTGGAGGGTCGACCCCGGTACCGTTCGGCGGCGCGTCAGCAGGTGCTCTTATTTTGAAAAGGATGTCGTCTGGTTGTTAAACGACGAAAATCTCCAGCTTCACAGTTCTTAGTTTAAAGAAGAAAACACATCTGGCCAGGCTGCGTTTTTCTTTAGGATGACGTTGAATAGAACTGAAGTCAAAATGGAACTGACTTAAAATGGCGTTGCCTTGTTTTATATCTCTGAATTGTTTTAAGTTTCAGTAAAGTGGATTGGACACTTGAAGTCAACACCAGATTCTCCTGCGGCAGCCGAAAGCTCTGATTGGTTGGAACAATGTGTCATGCGTTTCTATGGAGATGAGGATCAGTATGTCTGTGCCGTAGTCCTGTTTTCATTAAACATAATTCATGACATATTTATTTCACAGATCATTCACTTGATTACTGTTGATCAACATCTGTTTTGCTTAATAATTTTAATCACAAATAAAGTACTTTGATTAAGTAAAGTTTCTTCTTCTCCTTCGGACTCTTCTCCTGGAATGTAAACAGTCTGAGGAACACCCGACCTTGGTTTTTCTACACGGTGTTATTGTGCACAGGGGACAGCTGTATGGAGTTGAAAACCATGAACTTCATAACCTTACATATCCCCCCTTTTCAAGGTCAATGTGGTCCTTCAAGAGACCACTTGGTCGTTGAACAAACCCAAGTTATGAAGAATCTTGACAACAGAACAGGATGCAATCCCAAGGGAACAGCCATCTGTGGGGAGGTACGAACCCCACGCCGGAGAACAGTCTCGCATACTCCTCAGGAAGAACACAAGTCAGCAGGTTATTAATTATTCCCCATGGAAGCCATAAACGAAGCAACAGCAACTTCATATCCTCATGGGCAATAAAGCAAAGCAGGAGCAAATCTTGAACGTATCCACGAACAGGGTAGTATTCCAATTAAAAATCGATTGTTGTATCCGCAGGCAGGGTAATATTCCAAATAAAAATTGAACTTTGAAAGAGTACTTATCGTAATCCACAAAAAGGGAAGAGCAGATGACAGTAATCCCAACGAATGAGGTGTCCCAGCAGCCATGCCGGAACCACAGTCGTCCAAGGCCAACGAGCCGGAGCACCCTCAGGAGTAGTCGATGCAGATGACAAGTCACGGATTCACCCCAGGACGCAGGATCCTCACAAGCTCAGCAGAGGAGAGAGAGCACAGTGTAGGCACTTCAATGTAGACACGACAAAAGTGCATTTCATGTCATCAAAGAAATAAAAATAATAAAAACCTAACTCTATGAGTGCCTTTTGTACTATGTGTTAGTTTTAAGTGTAATTACCCATTAAGTGAAGAAATGGATGCAGCCCTGACTGTGTAAGATGCAAAAAGGGATGATGCGAGAAGCAGAAAAATGAAAGAAACCCTAACTGGTATCAGTGAATCCTCACTGTAAATACACGCTGTCAGGACAGGGGCAAAATTGGTTGTAGCCCAGTAGGATAAATCAAAGAATTGATAATCACAAACATAATATTCACTGTAAAAATCAACTGGTCAAAGGTACCATAAAAAAACAGAAATGTAAATCAGCACTAAAATGTAAATCAGTGGTTAGTAATCATGTTCATGTTAATGTACCCCTAAGGAATTGTGATTAGTAAAGATTAAAAAAAAAACAAAATTTTGGACAACAGTACTATGTGACCTAACCCACTCACCGTTACCTGGCCGTTTACCTGACTCCAGGAGCCCACAGCACGTCCGTCTCAACACACCTTAAGTCTGCACGTGACGCATAACAGGAAAGACAACCATGTACACTCACAAACAAACAAATTTGTGTAATCAGAGATAGAAATCTGTGGAACCAACGGGACGTATTTATCACCCCCCTTTTGAAGTCGGTGGATTGTTGTTGCTGGTATCGGCCAAATCTGTGGGACCCTTGTGCAGTTTGATATGGTCCCTGTGTACCCATTTGTAGACGGGCGCCTTGTTTTTGTCGGCGATCTTGATCTGATACACGACCTGAGAGATCTTATCTGTAACCAGGTATGGACCCGACCATCTGGGCAGAAGTTTCTTAGCCAGCTTCCCCGAGGTCGCATTGTTGTTACCCGTTTTGGGAGCGAAAATGTAGTACCAGGCCTGGTCACCTACATCGAGTTCGGAATGTGAGGCTTTCTT